AAGAAAGAAAGAAAGAAAGAAAGAAAGAAAGAAAGAAAGAAAGAAAGAAAAACAACCTTCTTTCTTCATTAAGGTATTAATTTTTCTTTTTTATACTAGAAATATCCTATCTGTTCTATATTGTATAATTCGAAGCCACACATTTTGAAGGACATTTGTAAACTGGAAAGTGACCATGCACCCTGAAAAGTACATAATCTAGAGATCACATATTATAAAGCAAAGGCTGAAAAGTTGAGTAGATTTAGAGAAGAGAAGGGATGAAAAGGCACTTGATTATGGTCCATTGTAATTGAAGAACTATTACGGGGGATAAATACATCCTGTGCTGTTTTGAAAAATCAGGCCAGGACCAATATGAAAAATGTATTTTAAAAGATAGCTATGTTCTCAGTATAAAGAGGGTGAGCTTGAAAGCTACATATGTTTATTTTGTGTGTGTTGATATTTTGAGGTACCTTTTGCCTTTGATTCTTGGCAAGTAATTTTAGCAAATGAATAATCCATCAGTTTATAAATACATCAGGTTAAGTAGCAAAAAGAATAACAAGGTAAACAAATTAGCATACATATATGCATTTTTTCCTGCTTTGTTTTGCCTGTGGACATTCCATCATCCAGGTTGGTGTTTATTTGCTTTGAAACCAGAATCTTCTCTATCTCTCATCTGCTTGCCACCCACTGATAAAACATAGCCTTGTAAAGAGAAGAAGACTTGGTATAACCACATGTCTGGTAAACGTGGCCACATCTCCATATGGGTGTCTAGAGGAACAAGGAATTAGTATGCATTCAGAAGCATTGATCACATCCTGTAAGACTTCCTCAAATAGACGTCTTCTCTAAGCAAGTGTCCTGGAACCTCTCAGACAGCTCTTAGTGCCATTTGGACCAAGCCGTATTTTCTTGTTTACTTTCATAATCATCTCACTTCTTCTTGAACTCTGGAACTTCATGGTAATCTTTGAACTTTCTGGTGCAGCATATCAGACACAAAGAAGATGCTTATGGAGTGTCTGGGTGGCTCAGTCCAGTTAAGCATCTGACTTTTGGTTTTGGCTCAGGTCATGATCTCACTGTCGTAAGGTTGAGCCCCAAGTCAGGCTTGTGTTGAGCATGGAGCCTGCTTAAGATTCTCTCTCCCTCTCTCTCTCTCTCTCTCTCTCTCTCTTTCTGCCCTTCTCCCCCGCTCATGGTCTCTCTCTCTCACACACACACTAAACAAACAAACAAACAAACAAACAAATAAATAAATAAATGTTTTTAAAAAGAAGATTAGTATTATTTGAATAAGTTTAACTGTATATATAAGAACGAATAAAGAGAGCTATTTTCTGTATTTCATATTTTATTCTGCTTGTCATTGAACCCTCCGGTGCCTTGCAGTGCCTGGTACTTAGAAGGGAATTGTTACACAGTCACTCTGTGTATGCGTGTGTATGTGTGTGTGCCTCCCCTTCATCCCAAGGCAATGAAGTCTTCTTTCCATCATCACATGTCACCTTCTACTAATGATGGGCTAATCGTTATATGGAACAAGTTAAGAAGGTCTACTTTTTCCACATAAATTCTACATTGTCCATGTAAGTTCTATTTCTCCCATGTAAGTTTAGAGTCCTGGAAAATAATGTATGAAGAAAGTGAAATTCAGAGCACTGACACAATTTCTGAAAGCCAAATATGTGGTCATTGATGGAATCGTAACCAACACTGATGTACTCAGTCCATAATACCTTGTGCCTCTTTTCGCTTCTTTCCCTTTCCTATACATACTTCATGTCCTCAAATTTGGTGTGTTTCTTACTAAAAAGAAGTCATGTATTCCAAAGTAAAGTGCAGGTTCATAAAAATACCCAGTAAAGGTTTAGATTAAATGACCCAAAATATCGAGGCACATTATATCAAAACAGAAAATCCCAGAGAGCAAATCAAGCAAGATGAGAATGGGAGGCCTGCAGAGCCTGGGAACTTTTATACTGCACTTGGAAAATGAATTGTATTAGTCAAAAAGTAAATGGTAGGATAGAAATGGCACAATGTACCAGATTATAGTATCTGTTACAATCAATAATTGCATTAAAATTTCCCTCAGAGGACCAAGTTTACTAATTTAGTATCATAAAAACACTTTTTTTTTTTTTGCAAAAGGCTTGTGTAATTGGATGTCAGTTAAAATAGCACAGGCATGATTAGTTATACTTCCAATTTGTGGAGTGTTTTTCTCCTTTAAAAAAATTTTCAGAGCTTTCATGCAAACATAATTATCAAAGTGCCTATGTCACTGGTTCTGAACTTATTATCTAAAATTTCTGGAAGAAACAAGGCATTCTTTTCATCTGGATCCTGACTCAGCATGTTTATCTTATGTACTTTCAGTCACTGTGTTTCTGTTTACAGCATACGAGATACTCTCATCAGAACAAAGGTCCCAGCATTGATCAGTCAAGCCGCAGACTCTGGCAGCTGACTGAACAGCAGGAGCCAGAGTCCACTTGAATTGTTCACACTCTTGGAAGTCAAGTTCAGACTTGAGCCGCCTGAGGTTCCTTTTAACGCAGATTTGTCACAGCAGGCAGCTGACGGGATTCACCTGCAAGAACCAGAAACATGCACTGTGCCATCCAAAAGGCAGAAGTGGTGGATGGGGCTCACTTGTTGCAGATCTTCTGGCATGACGGTGCGGAGTCTCTCTACCCTGCTGTATGGCTGAGAGACAATTGCCAGTGCCCCGATTGCTACCTGGATTCTGCAAAAGCACGGAAACTTCTCATCGAAGCTCTTGATGTGAACATTGGTATTAAAGGCTTGACGTTTGACAGAAAAAAGGTAATTATCTCTAAATTATCTCTCCTTTATCTCCCCAGTTCATTGAAGGGGCTACTGTCCAATAACTTAAAGAAGGGATTATGTTTCATTTGATCATGTCTATAACTACACAGAGAACCATGTTTGTGTAGTGCTCGGGGCAAGGCAAGCATGCTCAGTAGATGGAAGCTTCTGTTATTGTTGTTCGTAGTTTTATCACTACTACTGTTTTTAATAAAACTTACAGTATTGCTCATTATTCCTTCCGTGAAGGAATTTCGTGAACAGCCCTGAAGACACAATCAAACTATCTCTATAATAACAAGAGTGCTTCTGGGCCTCTGTTTATTCATCTGTAAAATAGGGAAACTGACAGAACTTGTTTGTAGAGATTACATGAGAATTCAGTGAGGTAATATGGGTAAAAATGTTTAACACAGTGTCCGGCATGCAGTGAACACTGAAAAACTTGTATCGACGACTGTAGTTTTAGTCAAATGAGTGAGTCGATATGCAAGGCTTGCTCTAGAACTCTGGAAAACAAGCCTCTCAAAACCACCAAGTAGATGTGACCACCAGCCTGTGTTTCTCTCTTCCAAAGTGACGAGGATAGTTCTCAGAAAAGCAAATGTGACAGCTAGCTCATGGCTCTTCCCCCTCTTGTCTTTATCTGAACTGAAGGACTTTACTCCCAGGGTTCACCGCTTGCCAGCTGTGTGACCTTAGAAATATTTACTCAGACATTCCTCGCTTGGAAAATGTGAATAAGAGTAGTACCTTCTTTCTAGAGTTGTATGAGGACTAGAGGAGTTATGCCTGTAGTGTTCGTTACACAGGATGCACTCAGAGTGCTGTTGTCATTTATTATTATGATCTGCCTCCTCCTCATCATTTCCTCGTTCTGATACTCTTGGAAGGAATATTAAATTCAGTGATAGCTCACTTTAAGTCATCACAGAAATTTTGGAAACAACAGATTTAGGAGATACAGAACGAGAACTTCAGATTGAGTCACATTTTACTTTTTCTGTGATGTTTAAGGGGCCTCAGAGCTCAGATGTATCACTTTGGCTTTCAGTTCTCCTGTCTTCCAAAAGAGCATTGTATACGTGTGAGTACATAAGTGAAAATAAAAATAAAGTAAAAAGTAAAAGAAGTAAGGGCTAGGTGGATCCCCTGCTTATCTTAAATTAACATTAAAAAACAGAGCAATAATGAACCAAAGTACATAGAAGCATAATATACATATAGGTGATATCTGCTTTCTGTGTTATAAGGTTTATATCACGTGGCCAAATGAGCATTACAGTGAATTTGAAGCTGACTGGCTGAAGAAAAGATGCTTTTCACAGCAGGCCAGAGAAAAACTCCAAAGAGAATTATTTTTGCCAGGTAACCTTGCCATGGTCTTCAATGTCTTTTAAAACTCTTATGGTAAGATATTTGCTCAGAAGCAAATATAAACCCTTGTGCCTTGGTTAAAACATTATTATAATTTAGGCAGGATGTTTAATGATTTACCAAACACAGATCGTTTGGGTAGAGATGAAAGAAAATATAGAGGAGTTCTGGACATTCAAAAGAGGCAGAAAAAGGCAAAGTACAGAATACTGGTACCCTTGTCCTCTAATGTGAAACCTGGCACACGAGACATGAGACACTGAGTGTCCACGGCAAAGGAGAGGGATGAATCAAAGGCAGTCTCGCCCTTCTTAATTTTATCTAAAGCCAGAACAACACAAAACCAACCCAACAGGAACTCCTAACCTGGTATCCACAGATAAAATTATGTGATCCCAGAGCCCAGTGAAGTTATGTGCACAGTGTTGAGTGTGCATGGGAGCATGTGTGTGTGTGTGCATGCATGTGCACAGCAAATCTGTGTGGGGAGAGTTCAATGGGTCTCAAGAGAATCTGTGACCACAAAAATGTTCCGAAAATCTGCAATAGTTGGATTCGGTGGAAAAAGGCTTCATTCTTGAGCTGAGAGACAGAATAAAAGAAGTACTTAATTCAGGTAGAAAGTTAATTATTTGCTCTCTGTATGGTTTGAAGATTTGTATCATAAACTATGTGAGTCAAAGGCAGATTCTAAAAATATCATGATTCTTATATATTTAGTAGAACTTGACTTCTACAAATACACTAACAAGGCAATTATCCTTGAACTTTCTTTTCTACTGTTAACTAGATATATTGGACTGGCCCTGTTGAAATCTGTGACACCAAAACAGAGATTTCACCTGACTCCTTTCAGATCTGAAATTCTCAAACATGTATAATAGGTGGTTTTAAATGAGAGATTTGCAACAGTTTACTGGGTGTGGAGATGTTACTAATTAATTAGCTTGAACCACACAGTTTCACCTTGTTCTATGGTTATCAATAGTACATGAGGGCACCTGAATGGCTCAGTTGGTTAAGCGTCCAACTCTTGGTTTCCTTTCAGGTCATGGTCTTGTGGTTTCTTGAGTTCCAGCCCTGTGTCAGGCTCTGTGCTGGCAGCATGAAGCTGCTTAGGATTCTCTCAATCTCTCTCTCTCTCTCTCTCTCTCTCTCTCTCTCTCTCTCTCTCTCTGCCCCTCCCCCACTTGCACTGTCTCTGCCTCTCTCAAATAAATAAATGAACTTAAAAAAAAAAAAATAGGGCATGATACTGTTCCCTTCCTGTTCAGGCATAGACCGGTGTTGTCAAGAACTAGGTTCCTCTGGGGTGCCTGGGTGGTTCAGTCGGTTAAGCATCCAACTTCGGCTCAGGTCATGATCTCACAGTCTGTGAGTTCGAGCCCCGCGTCAGGCTCTGTGCTGACAGCTCAGAGCCCGGAGCCTGCTTCAGATTCTGTGTCTCCCTCTCTCTCTGCCGCTCCCCTGCTCATGCTCTGTCTCTCTCTGTCTCAAAAATAAATAAAACCATTAAAAAAAAAAAAGAACTAGGTTCCTCCATGGCCTTATCTCATCATTCGGACAACTGACAAGGTTTTGCTCTGGTGCTTTCTGTCTAAACCACCAGGAATCCACTGTCTTCTTTATGTAGCCCAGCTAGCTGGTGGAATCCAGATAGGTATCCAGAAAAAGATGTTTATCCTGCCTTTCCCCAGTGAGAGTATTGTACAGAGACTTCAAGGAGTCTCCAGTTACATAACTGAGTAGCAATTGTCTGGGTCAAATAGCAGTTTCACAAATGTATTATTATTTTTTTTATTTATTTTAGATTTCTTCTGGTACTCAAAATATTTTTCCTTCACTCTGCCCTAATTTTGTAATCCTGTTGGATTTTGCTTTCATTTCCTTCAAGTTCTTCTTTTGATTATTTAAGGGAATAAAAGCCAACTTTTTATTATTACAACTTAGGCTTTTAAGCATTGTAAAAAGACACAGCCACCATCCTCCATTAATATTTCCTGACGAATGCAGTTTTATAGCTTATATTTCTCAGTACTATCAGGCAGTAGCAAAGTGGAAATGATACTACACTCAGTTAAGTTGTGGAAAAACCCAGTCACACTGACAGCAGCGGTCATGAATAATATAAGGAGAACTGGCTGCTATTTAGACACTGGAAAATACTTTAATGGTTTAAAACAAGATCAGATTTTTAAAATATATCCCCGAGCTGTGCAGTTGGTGGGGTAAAGGAGAAAGCAATGGGCCATTTTTGGAGTATTGCTTCTCTGGCTCTTTGCCTGTAGAATTTGACACCTTATTGAACTGCCATCACTTATTTTCAAACATTTATACTCCAGAACATGTAAACAAACTCTGTTACACTTGTGGAAGGATTTTGTTTTTCATCCTCAGTGGCCATGTTACCTCTTCTGCTCTTTCCTTAGAGTTAGAAAAGACTTTTAAAATCTGGCATCAAGATGCAAACCACTTTTCCTTGATCTTCCCTTGGCATTAGCTGTCAATTTCGAAAATGAAAAGACATGATGATCAGCCAGAGAAGACTCTTGTCAATGGACAGCCACAGCTGGAAGGAAGATGTGGATAATAGTCATTCCATCATAAATTTTGATCTGGTTGCACATATATTGGGCATCTATTTTGTTCAGGAAACTCCTTAAGGAAATACCAAGTTAAAAAAAAAAAAAAAAGACACCGATTCTGTCCTTGAGGATTTATCATGTCTAGGAGGGGGACCCTAGCCATGAAAAGAAATAAGTACAATCCATTATTTTAGTGCAAGAAAGCATGCAAAGAAGGTTAATCATAACACAGAGGAAGGAATCTGAAGAGACAAAAACATAATCCTTGAAGCCAGGAATATGTGAGCTGGATTTTAAAGAATCAGTTTGTCAGGCAAAGACAGCAAGGAAATTCTTGACAGAGAAAAGGGCATGTAGAAAATCATGGAAGTGTGAAATAGCAGGGTAGCCTTAGGAAACACCAGTTAGTTTAATATTGGTGAAGTTAAAATCATTAAAGCCATAGGGAATAGGGAAGGTGCCTAACCATGAAGCGGCCTCAGTGCCCCACTAAGGAGCTCAGTCCAAAACCTTCCGCAAGGACATTTTCACAACATAGAAATCAGGTGTATTCCTTTCCATTCATTTCCCAGGCTGATTTTCTTCCTATACGGCCAGAGAAATGAGTTTAATATCTTTATAAGTTTAAGAAGTTTGCTTTATTTTCTTTCAGATGCATTTTACATATTCAGAGTTATATCCATTCTGATTTTGACCAAATGTATATAATTTCTCAAATGCTTACAAAGCTCATGACTGTCTTCTTATCTTCCTCTTTCTGTGATTTTGCTTTCCCCTCCCCCAGTAGCCCCTTTGGTCCTTGGTTCCTATCTATCTTACAAAGGAGAGTGGAATGATTATATCTTTATCAGAAATGTTTGGTCATGGTCATCTGTATTGGGTAGACTGGAGTGGGGAGTGACAGGGAGGAGGGTAACCATAGCACAATCTAGAAATAGTCCTACAAAAAGCACTGAGAACTTAGCCTAGGGAAGTAGCAGAGATGATGGGGAAGAATTTGTATTTAAGAGAAACATATATTGACCTGTAGGACAAGAGGTTCCTGAACTTGTTCTCAATTCTCCACCAATTTAAAAGCTGAAGCCTAGCGTGTAAATGTTTCCAGACAAATGCATGAACATTGAAAACTGTAATAAAACATTGGAAATATGAAGATTTTTATTAAGGTAATTGTATTTTAAGGGCTCTTGGATGGCTCCATTGGTTAAGCATCTTACTCTTGATTTTGGTTCAGGTCATGATCTCACAGTTCATGAGATGGAGCCCTGCATCAGGTTCTGCGCTGACAGTATTAAGCCTGCTTGAGATTCTCTCTCTCTGTCCCTCCCCAGCTGACACACAAGAGCAGGCTCTCTGTCTCTCCCTCTGTCTCAAAACAAATAAATAAACTAAAAAAAATGTAATTGTATTTTAGCTTCCATGTCAAATTGAAATGATTATACATTAGGGGGCCTGGGTGGCTCAGTTGGTAAGCATCCAACTTCGGCTCAGGTCATGAGCCCTGCATTGGGCTCTGTGCTGACAGCTCAGAGCCTGGAGCCTGCTTCAGATTCTGTGTCTCCCTCTCTCTCTACCCTACTTGGCTTGAGCTCTGTCTTTCTCTCAAAAATAAATCAACATAAGAAAAAGAAATAATTATACACTAATTTTTGTGTTTAACTTCAAGATGCAAAATTCCCAGAATATAATTGATAAGACTGAAATGGGAAAAATCTATATATAGCATGACCTTTCTTATATGAACCTAAATATTTGTTCTTTCCATTAACATTCAGTTTCAGAATGAGTACTCATTTTCCTACCTCTTTGAATTTGTACTGAAATATTTGTACACTATTCTCTGACTTTAATAATATTTGTTATTTCAAATTGAGGTTTAAAAGATTGTAATTTGAAGAAAATCTTTTTTTCAATGGAAGCAGGCCACTCACTTTTCTCAGCAGCCCAGGGACTGAGTACATTGCACAATCAGAAAAGAACATTTCCCCTCAATTTGATACAGCAGAGCAAGTCTTTACCTGTCCGTTTAACTAGTCCATAGCTATCTGCCATCAGTCTATAGCCATCAGCCCCTCTTTTGTTTCAAAAGGAACATTCCACAAAAGGGAGTCAAAACTCTCTATAACTGTCAGGACCCTGTAGAACCTCTATGCCTTTCACAAGGCGGGGGGGGGGGGGAACCAGAGCTCCCCTTTTCTTGCAGAAGGTCATGTGTTTCCTTGAAGATGAAGATTTTTATTATGGCACAAAGAACAGAGTAGGTCAGGTACAGAGGCTATTTTTACAGAGATTTGTCAAAAAAGCAAAGATCACTATTTTTTTACTCGGCAAGTAGTGAACACAATAAGTGTGTCTAACTCCCAACTGACAATTCACCCCGTCCCTAAATCTTGCCCCATAGTTTGG